GAAAAAATACCACAAAGGAAAAAACGAAGAGCAACTACGTCCTTGGTCGGATAAATCGGATGACCCCAATTATCGATTGTTTCGAATAATTATTATCGGAAATCGAAGCATCAAAATTATGCATAGGGAAAAGCTATTAACATATGATCGACGGCTAATAAAGATAAGTCAATCCACAGGGGCAAGAGCGTTTCTCGATTTAGCATCTGATTGTTCCACTCTTCGACTGCGTATGTATCGCGTCGGGTGTCTCTGAAAATTATCTAGATAATTAGCCGTTCGTTTTGTCATGTTCAGCCCTCAATCATCACGCATAGGGGCAACCCTTCGTCGGTATTTTATGATGTTGATGAGGTTTATGGTTAATATTGTCAGATACTGCCAACACTACACAGGAGGAGACCAGCCCTTAAACATGCTGCCATTGTAAAATGCTCCAATGGGGTAAGGAGGGTTTCAAGCTCCATAATTAAGAGCTAAATACACTCGAAATGAGGTTAAAACAGCACAAATAAGTCCCAAGGCAATGTGAAAAGGGTGAGTTGCGTTAGCACTAAACGAACGTTCATCAACGATTGTCAAAATCTCCCGGCTTTAACCGGCAAGACAATGAGCTTGTGGTTCAATAGTTGGAGCGTTAGATCCTGATCAGAAGCTTTGCCTGTTCGAGCCTCGAGTGGTGCATAGCTTTGCATTTGGGTATGACCGGCTGACGACTGCTATTGAGCCAGAAATGTTCTTTCCAGTCTACCGTGTCTTTGTCGGTAAATTTATAACCCGTTGGCTTTATCTGCAAATTTTTTGATGCAGCGAGTGAGTCCGTAACGCGACAAAAGTACGAAGACAGGTTGCAACAGACACCAAACGTGCTCATCTCGCCTCAATAGGCATTGATTAGTGTACTAACCGGGCGTACTTGAAGGAAAGGTACGAATTGGAGCAATATAGTCTCTAGCTGTTTGTTGCTGCTTAAAACACTTATTAAAGTGGATTTGAGTGAAAATTTTCAAGTTAGATAATGAACTACCTGGTTCATCACTTTGATCAGATGCCGCCTTTTGATCATCAGTGTTTGAAGACTCTGGAGCTGGAAAGTCATCCGTCTCCCCGGCAACATCGTCTTTACCGTCCGTTGGACTTACTTCCAAAGTAACAACTGGAACGTCATCTACGTCAACCATGTTGACATCTTTTGCCTCATCCGCTTGATCTTTCGCAATGCTTGAAGTACTGCCTTGGTCTTCCTTAACTATATGAAGAAATTTTTCTACAAGCATGTTTCACCAATATTCGCGAGTTCAGTGTGATAAAAATATCTTTTTGATCTTGTCAAAATAATTTTCTGATATTCCTG